AATGCTTCTAACCTATTGTTACTGTCCTACTTTCTACAACCTGTACCACAAGTTTTGCCTGAGCTAACTTAATTCAATATAATCAAGAAATTTCCTTGTAACTCAGATTTATACCTTTTTCAATATCAACTTAAAGGCTCCAAACAGAAAATACATTAACAAATGCATATAAACAATAGTCATAAAAATTCAAGAGAAAATTACTGTCCCTTTTAGCTTTTTTTCTGAGAAATCCTTTTTTCATATGAATCATGACATGAACCTGAGAGTTCATGCAACCATTTTTTACCTTACCGTGTTTTACCAACACTAGTCCATAAAAAGCACAAAGATAATTTATCACAACTGATGTCTAAAACCATTATTAAAACAATTTGTCTTGCTGCTGGGGATTTAGCTAAGCGGCAAAGCGCCTGCCTGGCAAGCGCAAGGTCATGAGTTCGGTTCCCGGTACCGGAGAAAAACCAAAAAACAAAAAAAAAAAAAAAAAAAAACAATTTGTCTTTTTAATAAAACAAATGTAGGTGTACTTCTTCAACTGATCCTTACCATACCTTTAAAACATTATATGTAAACTGGGCATAGACCTAGGGAGGCTGAGAAAGAACCATTTCAAGTGTGAGCTGCTCCTAGGCAAAAGGGCTAAAGACGAAACTCTCAATACAATGGCCCTAGGTTTAAGCCCCCTACCAAGAAAAAAAAAAAGAAATGTATTGCATGTAACAAGAATGTAATTTAAAATGTGTCAGCTAACTTTATCATCAAGCTAGTATTACTTCCATCTTTAAATCAAAATTTAACCTTGTAAACCCCCATGGTTAAGCAAGAACTGAGAATCAACCATAGGCCTCAAAGGTATGCTTCCTACAAAACTATTTTGTTGATAATGCTTCAGTTAGGGGATGGGGATTTAGCTCAGTGGCACAGCGCCTGCCTGATAATGCTTCAGTTAATAGAGCTAAATTCTGCTCACATTAAATGAATGATAAAAATATTAAGACAATATTTAGGATTTAACTGTCAGAAGGTTACTGCTTACAAATAACCTTTGCAGCATACTTCCTCTGTTAAAATTATTAGTTTATAAAATGCTGCCAAATACACAACCTGTTTTACTTTCAAGTCTATTCCAGAGTACTGATTAATAGCATTTTATTGACAAAATTACAAATATACTGTATTTTCCAAATCTAAAGACAAAATATTTTTACAATCTGATTTTCTATTTCCAGTTTAAAAAATACCATTAAGATGGTTTCTTTTCCTTTTTTTTTATCCTTGTACATACCCAACTACTCCAACACAATCTTTTCTTGAGACATACTTAGATGATTAACTACTTCAAGAAGTATAAATACATATACTACCATTTTCGAATGGCAATCAAGAGACTGGGTAGAGATTTTCTGGACCTATCAGCTCTGCCTGTACCCTCCCTGTATGTGCTGCTGAAGACAGTACTCTGCATGTAGTATTAAATTAACTGTGTCCTGAAATTCTTAACATTATTACATTTCTATCTACTAGTCAAACACACCTTAATGCAATAGTAAATTATTTCATGGGCATAAAATTTACGTTAAATTTTCTATGGGAAAGGCCATTATTTATTCCAAAGAATGAATCCACTACTGGGCACAAATATTATTTGCAAAATTCCCTCGTACATTTTCTAGAAAACCATTCCTTGAAACATGCTGACAATCTTTAAAAATCAGAAGAAGAGGTATTTACATGTGCATCTTAGATCACTATGTGTAACTATTTAGACTTAAGAAGCAGGAGTTCAGCCTAGACTGTATGGCCAGACCCCCATTTTAGAAAGGCAGAGAAGGAAATGTTAAAGAATCTGGATAAAATCCAAACTCATAAATGGATGATTAGGCCCAAACCATTAAATTAACACATCAAACGTTCCTAGTGACTGGCAGGAAGCATTCATGAAGCATCCTGGAATCTACAGCTTTTTAAAGCCTAAATGGGTCCCGGAAGAAAAGTCCAGAGGTCTAAACAAGTGCCAAAGAAAATACCACTGTTGAAGGTAAGTACAGGAATGAAGCCATTTCTTCTTGTAATGTGACCATTGCAAATATGATCCACTACCTGAGAAACTTCATGGTGATGCTCCAGGGCGCCACTATCAATTCTACACTGTTCATCCCTGTAGTTAAAACTTATACGCACACTTACTGAAGGACTGTGTTTCTAGAAAACAGCATCATTCAATCACTTTTGAAAGCTGTGTGTCAACCACTACTCTGGCCATTTAGCATAAAAGGCTTCATTTATTACTCACACCAACCCTCCCAGAGGGCATCATCTCATTTACAGATGACTAAACTCAGAAGCTAAGAAAGCTTAGAAGTGAACTTCTCAGATTTTTAGGAGATAAGAAAATTACCTTTCTACACTGGCTCCTGGCTTCTTGGTAGAACCCTTCCTTTTTCTGTATACTTAACACACTAACACTATAGAAAACTCCTCACCGAACTCCTCCCATCAGTGAACTGAACTATGACTACTTCCTCCAGAGTATTCTGGCCATTGCTGTTCTCCCTTCCAGTGTTCAACAGACGCAACATGTACGCCAGGTCGCGTATCAGTATGGCTCCACAGGGGGCTAGACTATTTATAATTAATGCTTACTGAGCACTTACTGTATGCCAGATGCTTTAAATGCTTACAACCACTTCATAAGGCACGTTCTATCATTACCCTTATTTTTATAAATAAAGAAATTGAAGCATACAAAGCTTTAAAAATTTGCACAAGGCCAAATAATGTTAAGTGGAGATCCATCAATCAAATCATACTTCCTGACCGCATAACCCACGCTCTTAAACTGTATCCTTTCTCCCTCTCAAGCCAATTTATACAGGGTTTCTCATTTGATGCTCACAATTTTGGGAGCTAAACATTATATACCTCAGTTTACAGACAAGGAAATGGAAGCTCAAAAAAGTGAAATAATGCGCTGACAGTAGTTAAGCATTTAAGTAGTAAGAACAAGATTTGAGCACATTTTTGCTTCACACTTTCAAGGTGTTAACACTGTATTACATCAAAGGAGGGCACACACTATGAAAGATAAGAAGTAGCAATCTATGTATTTCAGATGGCCAATCACTTTTGAAAATTTCTAGGCTAGATATGAGCTCTTTTTAGATGACATTTTTATGTCTAAACATGAAGAAAGGAAAAGACATGTCAAGATAGCAAGAAAGTGACAAAAATGCTCTAATGATGATTAAAAATAATGGGGCAGAAAGCTCTACAAGTTTTTAAGACACGTATAATCTTTTATTATGAAGCCACATCGTTCATTTTTGGCCATAAAATATCGACACAGGCATGCGCTACACTATCTCACACCTACCCACCTCCCACCTCAACAGATAGCTTTATTACTCATGCTCTTCTTCCAAAAACATCAAAAAGAACACCAAGCTGGGTGTAGTGGCATAGGTCTGTAATTCCAGTACTGGGGAAGCTGAGGCAGAAGGATTCTGAATTCGAGGGCATCTTGGGGTACACAGTAAATTTAAGCCAGCCTATACCATAGCAAGACCCTAGGGTTGGGGGGAGAGATAGAAAAAATGAACAGCTGAGAATCCACCTACTGTAGGCTATTCTCTTTTAAATATGGCAATATTTTGAAAATGAAGCTCACAAATGTACATTAAGTTTCAGATGTTACTGATGTTTCTACCAAGAATAGGTATATGAATGCATTTAATATTATCTCATGCAAAATAGATTTCCCTTTCTTACATACATAAACCAAAAGGGGAAAAAGCTCAGAGAAGCAATTTTTCACATCACTAGCCAAAAACATAACTGCTTGGAAATGCTGTTTCCCAAGACCCAATTAGACAGTGTAACTCCTCCGTAGTTATACAAACTGGTTATTTCAGAAAATGTCTCCCACCAATTATCTATACAGAGTAAAATTGGGCAATATAATCAGGCCTCTCATCAGATTTCTTACATATCCAGGGGTTTCAGATAGCAAAGCACATTACTGAATCTCAAAGAAATGCCTATTTTAAAATTACCAGTCCTTAGACAATCAAGTTTACATCCTCAACAACCAAAAAACAAATTAGAGGCAGCCAGCAGCTCAGTTACAGCTCTTTGTACCAGATAAAGATTTTTAAAATCAAAAACTCAAGAGAAAAACTGTAATATGTTAAGCATCTTTTATAGCATCCTTAACACAGTTAAAAAAGAAGAAGAGGGGAAAGGGATTCTCACACAATCCAGAACTCGATCCAAAGAGTAAATCTGACTGTTCAGTAGAGAAAACGATAATTCGGAGTTGTCCATCAATTTCTAAAAATTACCAGTGCTATGCATACGAAACATTAACTATATTAAGAAGACTAAAAGAATTAACATGTCAATGCTAATCCAACGCGTGCAAAGTGTACCGTGGACAAACAGGTTCCACTGTCAACCTCTTCCTATATGATGTTTTGCAACAGGGCGGAACTTGAAGGAAGATCACCTCACAGGAGCTCATTAAATTCGGACTTGATTTTTGTGGATTTGAAAATGTCTTTTTCTCCAAACGTAGCGATAAACCCGTTTTTTCATAAATGAATTCAGTCACACATCAAGGCAAGGCTCGATGTGCAAATATAGAGATGAGATCTTTCCCTTTCCACTCCTCTCTTCCCAGGCGATCCCTCCCCAACAGCTCTGTGAACATACACAGATGCTATCTAAAATGAAAACTTCCCTTGCATTCCCCAAGCTAAAGGAAATGGGAATTTCCTAGGAAAGCAGAATCCAGCTCTCACCCACACAACCCTAATCCCCGAAACACCCACGTTCCCAAACAAACGCTGGATATTCTTAGAAAACAAACCCTCGGTCGGGCACCTCACATACAAAAAAAAATCGGGAAAACAAAAAGGTGGGCAAAGAAAGGCAACTTAAAAGCACACCGCCACACCCTCAAGTCCGCCTCGCGGCTCGTCCGCCCGGCCTTTACCTTCATTTTCCATCGAAACTGCACCGGGCTGCTGGCTACAGAGTCTCTAGCGCCGGCCGCGGCCGCCCTGGGAGCGCAGAGGGGCAGGGCCGGGAAGAGCTGCCCCGGAACCCCGGGCTGTCACCCCGCGCCCGGCCTGGCGTCGCGCGGCCGCTCCCGC